GAGGAGGAGGAGGAGGAGGAGGAGGAGGAGGAGGAGGAATAGAAGGAGGATGATGGTAGTGGTAGTTCGATAGGGCGGTCAGAGTTAGTTGTAAACGTAGGTGGCGAGGGAAAAGTGGAAGGAAAGAAGACGGTTGGCGCAGTCCGGGTGCTCAGATTGGTTCGGAGGTGTCCAGCAAGTCAAATTGGCGCCCGGAATGTCCTTTGTCATCGTGAACATGTTGGAGGCGGTTGGGCATTGGCGCTGTGAGGCGGCGGCAGCGGCAGCGGCAGTTGAGATTTGCATGCCCCGCGTTTGGCTTTGGCGGCGGTGATGCGGTTGGCTTCGACGATTGCTGCGTCTGACTTCACTGTTCTCCTCCATGTAGGTCGGTCCCAGGCGATATATTCTTAATTTGCTGGGTTTATCCGGAGGAGCATCAGGAAGGTTTTGAGGATATCCTTGATGAGCCGGACTTGACCTTAGCGGCCTGAACCAGTCGTGAGATTTCCACAGAAGAGTCGTTTGGGTAACCTGTCGTCGTCCATCTGTACGAGTTAATCGCTCCAGCATAGTTGTAGTTGTTTCAGCATAGCCTAGTAGCAGAGGATTCCTGTCCGCTTCAATACTTCAGTGTCTGGGATCCGGATCGTCACCTCAGATCCAGTATTTGACGAAGACGACTAAGGTTGGAGTGGTTGAGTCTATTTGCCTGCTTAATTTCCACCGTCCAGGTCTCTGCTTCATACAGCAACGTTGGCCTTTTACATCTCCTGAGTCATGCCAAAGGCTATGATATTCCAAACTGTTGTTTAAAGACGACGTAAGGTTTGACAAGCCTTGAACACCCGTTGGGCCACTTTATTGTCAATTTTAGTTGTGAGGGAGAGGGTGCTTCCCAGATACATGAAGTTGTCCACCACTTTTAGTTGGTCGCCGTTCACGTTAATTTGAAATGCGACGTAGGCAGCATCGGGTAGCGGTTGATGCATGACCACCGTTTTCTCCGTGTTCATGATCAGGCCGAAGTTCTCGAGGTTGGCGGAGAAGAGATCCATGCTTCTTTGCATACCTCTGCAAGTGGTTGCATTGAGGGAGCGACTGGAATTACACTCGCCGCTGATTGAGGAGGTGGCCGTTGGTCCTGTGGGCGAGGCGGATCCCAGGGCATTCGTCACGATAGGCGTCCATCAGAATGACAGAGAATATGTTACTGAAGAGCGTAGGCGCCAGGACGCAGCCCCGCTTAACTCCGTTGGTCACTGCGAAGGCCCCTGAGACCTCTCCATTGTCCATGACTCACACTGTCATGCCATCGTGGAACTGGCGCACCATCAGAGATAATTGTTCGCGACAGCCGAATTTCTACATGATTTTCCACAGTTCTTCACGATTTACCATATCGAAACATCCGTTAGATTCACGAAGGTAGAGTTGACGGGGGTCTGCATCTCCTGATAGCTCCTGCAGGAGGTGGGAGGGGAAGATAATGTCGGTGGTTCCACGATGACGGCGGAAGCCCCGCTGGCTTTCCGGCAGATTACCTTGTTCCAGGTGGTTGTTCAGGCGGTTAGAAATAATGCGAGTGAAAGTTTTCCCGGCCATGTTCAGTAAGGAAATGCCTCGATGGTCGTCGCAGATTTGAAAATTACCTTTCCGTTTATAGGACGACTGGGACGCCCCTGCAATGCTGTGGGATTTCACCATGACACCAAATCTCAAAGAAGAGCGCTGTCACGTGAACCCCGAGTTGGGGGCCGCCGTGCTTGTAGTTCTTAGGAGGGATCGAGTTCGATCCGGAGGCTTTACCGCAGGAGAGTTGCTGCACGGCGCTGATGGTTTCGTTGAGAGAGGGCCGGAGGTCGAGGCCAACGTTGGTACCCACTTGCAGCAGACGGGCGCTGACGGCGTCAGGGATGATGGAGGGGCGGTTGAGGACGCGTC